GCGGCGGCGGCCGGTGGCGCGGCGGCGGGTGCGAGGGCGATAGTGCGAGGCGATCCAGGGGGCGGGAGTGCGGCGGCGGCCGCCCTGCCGCGCCCTCTTGCTCCCCTTCCGGCGGCGCGCCCTCGGGCCGCACGAGGGGGCGGCAGCGGCGGCGGCGCCTTCGGCGCGAGCATCGCCTGCAGCTGCTCGTGCGTGACTGCGCCCGGCGTGGCGAGCAGCGCCTCGATCGCCTCGGGCTGGTCGCGCTCCTGCGGACACTCTCGGATGATCTCGGATCATCTCGGACAATCTCGGGTAATCTCGGGCCGCGCAAATCGACGCCTCGTCCAACTCGACGGAAGCGAGATATGGGGCTGATATCGGGAGATATGGGGAGATATGGGGAGATATGGGGAGGTGTAGGGAGATCGACGCCTCGCGCTTGAACTTGTTCTTGATTTGCCGCCGCTCGCGGTGCGGAAAGAGCGACGCGATGAGCGTGAAGTCGGTGCCGTGCACGCGCAGCGCCTAGTCTCCGGCGACTCCACGCTCAACAGCTCACCATGGTTCACCGCTGTGCCGCCGGCCGCGCAGCGCCTCGTAGAAGGCGGCCGTGTCGGCCGCGGACCAGGACGTCGACGGCGCGCGGCTGAGGTAGGAGGAGGAGGTGACGCCGAGGCGCTCGGCGTCCTCCACCTGCCCCGTGTGCTGCAGCCGCGTCGCGCGCCCCGCCGTCACCGACAGCGACGACTCGTCCACCACCATGTTGCCATCCTCGTCGAACCGCAGCTGCGGTGCAAACGCGCCCTCCGCGCCCCCCTCGTCGCCGTCGCCCGCCAACCGTGGGCCATGGAGCGCCTCCTCCTCGTCCTCGCGCCGCATCCGCTCCTCCTCCCACAACGTGAGCGGCGGCCCGTCGTCGTCGTCGCCACCGCCGCCGCCGCCGCCGCCGCCGCCGCCTCGCTCCCCGCCACGCCCCTCGCCGCCGCCGCCGCCCGCTGCGCCGCCGCCAGACTGCGGCCGTTGACCAAGCGGCGCGTCGAGGGGCAAGCCTTGCTTCCGCCGCTCGGCGCGCTCCCTCGCCGCCTCAGTCGGCACGCCCTGCTTCCGCTCGTAGATGAGCTCGCGCACAGTCATCTCGGCCATTGGCTTTGGCGGAGGCGCCTCGGCAGGGTCCTCGACGTCGTCGTGGCCGAAGCAGTCGTCATCGCCGAAGCAATGGCCGCCCTCGCCCTCGCCCTCGCCCTCGCCCTCTCCCCCG